GGTTAATTATTCATATTTTCCATGAGCTGATTTGCTACAGTGAAGATTATCGTGATTGACAAAACGTGCAAGTTTCATGAACTATGATTGAACACAGATCTTATTTTTTGCAATAATCCAAAAGCCTATGGAAAAATCCTATTGGCTTTTTGTCGAGGGAAACGATGCTAACAGGAGTGCGATGCTAACAGCCGATCGGCCTACAAAGTGACATCATTAGTTCCCCCACTCTATTACAGGCTCATGACTCCTCAGAACGCAAAACAGAATGTAGCTTTTGGTCGCACTACACTGCTACTTGCTGGAAAAAGTAGTTAGCTACTGGAAAAGCTGCACTGTTTTAAAAGTAGCAGAGCTACCGTCATGCTTCTGAAAAATGTAGTTGCGTTAGTATTGTCGCTACTTGTAGCTAGCTACTCCCCAACACTGGTAACACTTTACAATAAGGTCCTATTATTTAGAGTACTGTTACACTAAACAATACAGTTGGTACAGTATTTATCATTTTTGGCATTGTCAGTTAATAAAAAAAATAAATAAACTGTTCATTGCTGGTTCAGATCCATTAAATAATATTAACAGATACAACATTTAACTTTAATCGTTAATTTGTATATTTATTGCTTTAGAAGTATTTTTTTATTGTTAGCTCATGTTAACTAATGTAGTAACTAATGTTAACAAATGGAATCTTATTGTGAAGTGGTACCTATATTTTTTCTTTGCCATCATCATCATTACAAGCATGAAAAATTTAATAACACTGTTAAATGTAATATATTTTTAATATATCAGTATCAGCTGATATTGCGAATTTCATTGTATGCACTTTTTACATCTATTTTCATATTGCACTTTATAAAGTTGTGATGCCTAAATTGACTTTTAGCATTTGAAATGATGGATTCTAGTTTTAATTTTTACATTTTTAATATATTTTGTGTAATATATGGCATCTGTTTTAATTGTCAACAGTGTATCCCTAATCAGGTGTGTTTCAGTGTTTCTGTACATACCTTTAAGCTCTCTGTGCTGTTATGTCGGCTGTTGTGTCGCTGGCTGTTGCTGAAACAGAGAGCATCAAAACACAGCACACCTCCCACACAGTCACCCAACAAACACACCTGTACAAAACACACACACACACAAACAAATTCAGCCAGAATCAGTGCAGCGTTTTTCCATGCAATCAACACCGTCAGGAAAATCTCAGGATTGCATAATGACAGCTCAATCTACAGGGCAGCCTGACAGTCAATAACACATTTAATTAATCGTACAGAAACAACACAGCTGCAACTCTATGCTTTCCTGTTTGCTGTTGATGAGCACCTCTATGGTGAGCTCAAATAATGTATGGATTGAAATAATGTATGAATTTTTTCCCCAAATCAGAAGGCTAATATATTATTTAGGCACTATTTGAATGGTCTAGCTCCCTAGAGAATCAACACTTGACATGTAGCTCATAAACTGCGGTCACCACTTCAGGAAATCATTGTTCCTTCTAAATTGACAGGAGTGAGTTATTTGGATTAATCATGTGAGATTATGGAGTAAGACGAGTGGAAAGACTCCCTCCTTTTTCGTCTGTTTTGAATGACTCATCACTGATGAGTCACTTTCCCTGCCAGAGACCCACACACCCTTCCCACTGCTGCTCTGTACAGTTTGCCTTCCTAATACTAATCTGGGACCGCCCTCATCTGCCTGTGTGGCCGAATCTCTTTTGTTACGAAAAAACAGCTAAAATGGTTTCAGAACTCAAACTAAACTCGCGGCCACATTTACAATTGCACTGCAAAATTCTGAAAACAAAGTAATATATATTTTCAATAGAGGGCAACAGTCCTGCCTACTTTTTCCATACCATTGGTATTTTTCCATTCGTCTTTATTTTTAAAAGGTCTTTGGTAAAGCATTATAAGCCATGATCCAAACCAACCATCTATGAGGTGAATCACATTACACATTTTTATTTGAAGCAAAAAAAAGAACTTGAAAATTTGAAAAAAAAATAAAACATGTTGCTAATGTGAGCACACCTTAAGATTGTTGGGTGCTCATGAACTCACCTGCCCTGTGAACCCCTGTCCCTCTGGAGACTGCAGAAAGCTGTGGTACACCTGGTTGGCCCGAGCGATCACGGTCGCGACGGCGTCTTGGTAGTGTGGAGCAGCTATGGCGAGCAGTGGTAAAGCGGCCAGAGGTAGATGGTCTACGCTGCTGGACACGCAACTCTCGTCATAGCTATAAGGGTTCAGACTGTGGAAGTGAAGAGCATGTTAGTATCCAAACTGGTGACCCTTTGACAAAGCAAAAGAGACAAGACATTTTTGTTTTGCTACCCTCTGAACTTTAAGAGATTAAATGCACCATAAACTATATCAGTACGTTTTTTTTAAACACTGGACATTTGGCAGGTGCCCCAGTACTTAAGATGTTAGCTGTGTTTTGGAACATGGTAGCTGGTTTCTAGATATAAACTGGCCATTAGCCAATCCAAGCTGGTCATTATCTGGTACTAGTTGGACATTAGTTGGATGACCAGCTACTATGTTCCAAAACCAGCATAAACACTTTAAGTTAGAACAACCAACCGGTAGCTGGTTAGCTCATATGACTTGCTCAGAACATCTAATGAACTGCTGAAGTGCTGATTACCTATTTTCACTAACTAATGTCCAGCTTGAACCAGCTAATGACCATCTTCGGCCAACTAGAATAGCTAGATAAACTCATACCACCTAATGACCAGCTCAGACTAGCAGATGACCAGTTTTGACTGGCTAATAACCAGCTAACAAGCATCTTTGACCAGCTAGAATTGCTGGACAAGCTCATACTACTAACGACCAGCTTGAAGTAGCTAATGACCACCGTACACCAACTAATTACCATTTTAGACCAGCTAGAAACTGATTACCATTTTCCAATTCACAGCAAAAAGGTTTTCAGCAGCGATGATTTAAATGCATGACTCAGGTCAGAGAGATGACGATGATGCAATGTGAGAAGAAGAATTGCGGAGAAGCCTGAGGTGCTTTATCATGCTGCATTGCATGAGTCTGCATGAGTCCACAGAATAAAATAAAGCGAAAAGTGAAAGATTGCCCTGCCCCAACATTGTCACCTTGAACAGCTGTGCGAACCTCAGAGCCATCGATCAAGCACAGTGATTAGCGACCCGAAGGCTCTGACAGAGAGACAGCAGTGCTCGGGTGGGAGTACTGATGATGGAGGGGTACAGGCTTTTTACAGCCCAGGCCAGGACTGGGGCAAGAGCTTTACCCGTTTGAGGAAAACACACCACTCAGTGGTCTAATTGTGCAAAATTCAAAAAATGTGATAATAGGCTCTCTTTCAATTCATGAGTTGGAATCTGAACCGAAATGGACTCATCCCACCGGAATTTAAAACTGAAATGACAGGAAAAAGAATTCAAACAGCACAGGTAAGGCATTCTTGGAACTGAAGAGTTTGTCCATCCATCTGTCGATCAATCCATCGATCCATCCATCTATCTGTCGATCCATCCATCCATATATCTGTCAGTTCATCCATCCATCCATCTGCAAGGCCTATAAACATTCAAACCTCAAGGCTTTAAATATTTTTTCAGAACTTTTAAACAAGGCTTTAGTTAGAATGTCTAACTATTTTAATTCAACTTCTTTACATTCAAATTTGAACTGCGATTCCACATCCCGTTTGCTGCCTCAATACAAAACTGATGTAAATTCAAGTTTTAATTTGAACTTTAACAGGCATTCTCAATTCAAATCTGAATGGCGCCAAACTCTGGCACCAAAATGGCAGTGATGTGCAGAGCTAAGATATGAAACTTCCCAGGAGTGTAGTTGTGATAGACTGCTGCTTGGCGAAGTGTGGCACAGGCTACTGGTGATAAATGACTGTTGAAGGTGAAGCCTCCAAGTGGAAATGAGCAAGTCCCAAATGGATTTGTCTGCTGGAGACCTGAAAAAGTAGTCAAGCTCCTTTTATCATCCTTTTGACTGGGGGAACTATGTAGCTCTAGGAGGGCTGTGACGGAAGTCACAGAGAAGTCACTTCTCTGATTATAATGACAATCCATAAGCTCATTGTAATCAGTCTTCGGTGACATTGCCTGTGTAACACAAAAGCAGGTCCCATTTACATCTTACTCACGGGAAGGCAAAGCCTGCTTTTTCCCCCTTCTCATTAATAATCTACTGCCATTTTTCTTCTCTAAAACATGAATGAATTTCCTCCAAACTCCATTCTGGCCGCTGATCTTTACCCTGACTCCTCACAAGGCTAGGCTAATGCGCTATGACCCAGTGTGAACAATAGTTCCTGTCATGTTTACATGAACTCTCCTGGCTGGAGAAGGACATAGTCATTACAGTAAAAAGCCTGCAGACCAGGGGCCAGCCCTATTAGACATGCTCCACAGCAGGAGAGGGTTCAAAGAGCACCTCCAAACCTCTCAGTATGGCCCCTCACCGAATTCATTATTTATTTACACAGTCTGTAATTAATGTTTGGCCCATGCTAGCAGCTGGCATTGTTGCTGGGGTTCTGTTTTACCTCACTAATATGAATATGGCAGGCTGGGTAATGAAGTCTAACAACCTGTCTTTTTTTTTTTTTTTTTT